TAAAGTTAAAGAAACAACGATGAAGTCAGAATCAGCATCTGTAAGACCAACCTGCTGTTTTTTTTTTTTTCCCAGAGCTGATAAAAATCTTCATTTCCCCCATAAGACAGACAAAATGCACAGTGTCACTGGAAAGCTCATACAGTTTTATTGTTCATAACAGGAACATTGCCAAATAAAGTGCTGTATACTGATATCACATTCACTGAGGATTACAGTGTTTAAATGCTAGATATGGAAGCTGTAAGTATGTAAAACGTAAATGATCCTTGATACCAACAGGAGAAGTGAGACTTAAAAAATAGGGTTCACCCAATTTCCCTCATCTCACTCTTCACCAACACATTCGATGTTTAGTCTCTTTTCGGGCTTCTGTGGAGACAAAGATCCAGTCAAAGTGCTCAATGGTTCTTAGTTTTCATGGTAACCTGCTTCGAATAGAGTTCTCTAACACTGAAATGATAGTAAATTGATTTTATTCCTAAGCATTCAAGCGTTTAATAAAGTGCCAAACCGAACTATCTGGTTAAAAAGCTACACGATTGTGGTAAAACACTAAGGTACTCTTTTTCCCAGAGTATTTCAAGTGACTGATAACAACATCAGCAGAACGTTGAAAGAAAACCAAATCATTTCAACGTTCTAATATTATCTAAAAAGAGACATCATAGGACGTGGTTAGCTAGCTTAGCATCAAAAAGATATCTGAGATCACTGCAAAAGGTGAGGACAGGTTTGGGTCTAAATAGAAGTAAAAGTGCCTCTAGTTCTACATCAGAATGGAAATATTCAATTTGGAAGATGCTGAAAGATCAAAGAGGTCTTACAGCGAAGTTAGCACGCGCTATCATGATGTCGGTTTTGCATATTTTGATTTGCATCTTTACGATATAAATGCAGTCAAGGCACATTGGCTGCTCGTATGCGCACACTCCCCCAGTCTGTTGGACGCTGGACAGTTCATGCCGTGCTGCGACTGTTACTGGTCTCCAACAACATGGTGGAACGGTCCAGCTGATTTGGGCGTGTAGTGTGAAGCACTTTTTGTTAATAAAATGAGCATATAGAGACACAACAACGGGACGCTACAACAAAATATAACTCTTCTAAGTCTTACATACATGCAAAATACTAGAACGTGACACCAGTGGTTCCCAACCTGTTTGAAACCTCCACCAAGCTGACATGTTTAGATCTGTCTGTAGGTTACAACAAGTGTTTTGTATCTTGTGTAAGGAGCTGCGCGTGATCTGATGTCACATGAGGCAGCATCGGGCGGGACTGAAGACGACAAGTTTTAAAATGAAAAAAAAACAAAAACCAGTGGGTGTGGAGTCAGAAAGAAAGCGCTTCCCAGGACGCTGTAGCTCATCTTGGTTTGAGGCGTGCAGCTCCAGTATGAATTTACAACTACTGCTGTATCTGTTTGTTGTTAGAGTTGCATTGTGGGTAATGGAGGTGCCAGGTCTTGAGAAGGGCAGTGCCTCAGTTTTGATCCTTTTTATGAACTCTTTATGTTTCAGGCAAAGGAATGCAACGGCAAACTGGTGGAGAACAGCTTTGATATAATGCAGTATATTTATATGTAACCCATCATCATCTTGAAAATGAAAACACTTCTATGTTTCCGTGAGCCAGGTTGGGAGCCGCTGGTTTCACTGAAATTCACAGGTAAACAGAACGACAAACAATATTCATAGCACTCTAGTAAAAAATAAAACAACTCTCTTGCTGAAAGAAATGAGTAAACTCCCAGCAAACGTGTGAATGCAAAGATCTTCCTACACACAATCCTCTCTATGTTCGAGAAGCGAACCGCCTCTTTTTATGGCCATAGGATCATGTCGCGCTGCATATCTCAGCGTATTAGTCAGTGCCAGTGTGCTCTCGCTCCACTTTACAGCATTTCTGTCCTTCCTCAATTTTATGTGCCTGCTATGATTCATTCACTCAATCAGTGCCAGAACTCTCGCTATGAACCATTCACACATACAATATATACATTCTCATGTTAACATCTTTAATAAAGACAACAAAGGCACCAGTTAGTGTGGTTTTTTTTTGTTTTGTTTTTTCCTGCTCGTTCAACACTGACGTCATGTAAGTCAGCATAGGTCCTTCTATATGCAGCGGTTCTACAATAATGAAATCGCAGCTTGTCAAACTGCTCAATTCATGGTAATGGTAAAGTAAAAATGAGAGTGCATGATTTATGCTGAACTCAACTTGAAGAATGACATGGATTGTGATGCACAAACGTGGGGGGAAAAAAAATGAGCTTCCATTTCTTAAAATACAGTTTTATTTGTGAATTTACACGGATTAGCAATACATCTAAAAGCAACTCCATTAGATAACCATTTATATAGGATTTTCACAGGTCACAAAGTAGCTTGGCTCATTCTGGCATGCCAAAGCAAAACTCGTTCTTTTTATTGAATTTTTTTTTTTAAAAACAGAAGAAGAAGAAGAAAAAAAAAAAGTGTGGATAGAGAGGCATTAGTAAAGCAAGGTGCAAACAGTCAGAAACAGAAGAAGGAGAAAATAAAAAGGATGCAATGCACATTCAGTTCATCTGGGAGCAATTTCTGCTCGTAAAATGGTTAATAAAAAAAGAAAAAAAAAAAAAAGCCTAGTGCTCTCTGCAAACTAAAAAGAAAAGAAAAAAAAATGAAGCGTACTGCGATACAAATGGAGGATGAAAGGAGAGACATTTCCAGAAGGAGAGATGGTATGAAAGAAAAAAAAAAAAAAACACAGTCTGAGTGATAAAAACATGGTGTGTTAGTGTCAGGTTGTCCTTTCCCCCTGCCCGTCTCTGCTACACACACGTATGCAACTTCCATTTCCAAACTCACACCTCCATTCTCCATCTTTCAGTTGTGCGACCTCGGCTCTTTGCCCAGAGCCAAAAAAAAAAAAAGCTATCGTTTAACACAGCTAAAGATGCCCCCCGAATCCCTCCCGCCCTCCCTCCAAATCCAATACTTCACATTGCTAGCTGGGATATTGGTACATCTGGTTAAACTGCGGGGGGAGGATATGTGGCAACCCATCACACTTTGGCTTTGCAGAGTTCAACTGTGGGTCATCGGACAGTTACAGCACGACTGTGTTTACGAGAGAAATTACACGAGGGGAGGCTTTAGAAGCTGAAATATTGAACTGGGCTCGCAGAGTGATCCAATAAAAAAAATAACATGTCCACGTGACCTCCTTATAATGTTCCAGTTCTTGGAGGAATTAAACGGCAAATTAGGCAAAGGAAGCGTAGCTGCTGTGAAGATAGCTACTGGGGAAAAAAAAAAAAAAAAAGATAATAAAGTTAAATTTCTGGGGAGCCTGAGGGGTGTCGATGCAGTCACTGGGGTGATTCAACAGAGGTCTTGTTAGGGTCCATGACGCCTTAGCAGGCAGATGAGAATCACAACCCTTGTCTTATTAAAAGTAATGGAGGAATAAAATTACAATATGGCTTTAAAAAAAACACACACACACACATACACACACAGGCACGCAAACAAACCAAACAAAAGACGTCAGCGCTCCACTCTCTACGACCCATGAGTTGAGAAGTAGAAATCTTTTTCTCACGTGTGACACCAATGAAAGATTTTATTTTTTCTTTCCGCCTTCGTTCGACTCACTTTCCGGGTCCTGACCTCTCTCCGACACCATGCCTCGCTTGCTACTTGCACAACTTTTACCAAATACTTCACAATCTCCTTCACTGGTGAAACCACCTGCAACTAAAAATGTGTTATATAACCACAAGAAAAGTGCTGCACAATAAAATAAAAAATATATAGTTAAAAATCTATAGCCAACATATCCAGTTTTTCATATATCTGTGTTATATAGGAACTTTGTGTACTCTGAAGATTAGAATATAATTTGAGCAATCAGGCATCACTACAGAACATAGTCAGCCGAATAAATTCAATCCTTGCAAAAAAAAAAAGAGAAAACATGCGTAACATCCGTATTCTCTGTAAAAAGCTTAAAAATGAGTACAAAACACAGTCGGCTAAATTTGTGTTTGATTAAAAAAAAAAAAGATCAAATTTCATGAGATGACAAACGAGAAACAAAGAGTTAAAATGAGATTGTTCTGTTTCCATGTTTCCATTTAATTTGGAAAAAAAAAAGAACACACTGAGATGAGGACGAGATATGAAAATGCTACATAAATATTTGTGAGATCAATGTTGCGATAGACGACCAGACTTCCTCCTCTCTGTCTTGTAGTCTAGTAACTCATATGCGGTTCAACCACAATCAGCTGAAGAGAAGGTTCGTGTCAGAAGCCTGCGCCTAAAGTAGCTTGAAGAACGTGAGAGAGTCGGAACCGAGAGAAAACTCTCACAGTAAATAAATCAACACAAACCCCGCGGCTGGTTCTCTAACACCACTTTTCCAGTGTGACTTAAAATTTTTTACGTGGCCTCTCAGTTCTCTATCCAGAGTCAGGTGACCAGGATGTATTAAAAAAAAAGAAAAAAAAACAAACATAAAAAGACAGGGGAGTTTAGTTTCAACTTGTGCATTTTTTTTTCTTTTACAACACTCAATCCAATCATTTCATAAAATTGGATTTTGGAGCAAGAAAATACGCAAGGTGGTTTCAAGTTCTGTTCTCAGCCTGGGGAAGAAAAGAACAGAAAAAAAAAAAAAGCACAGGAGGAGCCAGTTATTCAGGATCTAAAAATGGCCTCATATGACACTTCCAAGGAGCCCTGTTAGAGCACTGCATAGGTGATGAGGTGTGCAGACACACCAACACCTGCCCAAGTCACCCCACATCTGCTGTAATCTGTGGACCCACATACCCACCCCGAAATCTCCCAAACATTCTTGTCTTTTTGCAGAAGGAGAGACCTTTTCTTCTTATTTGTTAAACTGATTTTTTTTTTCCTTTCCTCTGCCTTTTGCACGTAAAACCTTTTGTTAAAAAAAAAAAAAATCAAATAAAATTAAAAACATAAAAGGACATTGAAAACGGAGACAAAATAAAAACACAGACATGAAACAGAAAAGCGGAGCTGCCGCCCCTCTTTCTTCTTCTACGCAGATGGTCTTCCTGCCCAGCCTGTGGCCTTTTGGCTCTCAGGCCTCCGTCTTCTCTTTCTTTTTGTTTTTCTTCAGGAAGGACGGGGTGCGGAACTTCTTCTTCTTCTTGGTGTTGGGCGACTTGGAGGGGGAGCTCTCGGGGGACAGCGCCTCCTCGATCTTCTCGCCGGAGCGCACCGTGATCTCCACGCTCTCCACGCTGGTGGTCAGCTGACTGACGCGCTTCGACAGCTCCTCGTCCACGTCGCCGTGGTCGTCTTTGCCGTTCATCAGGCCCGTGTGGTTCTCTGTGGGGAGGCGTGACACTCAGGTTAGGTGAGGACATGGAGGACTAATTCTCTATTACAAACTATGTCTTAACCTACTGAACTGTATCGTTGCTCCTGTCACATTTTAACCTCATTTTTTACTGCAATATGAAGACCTGCACCTTTATGGAAACAGCAAAATCCTGGCTAGAAGTAGAGAGAACTCGAAAAGTCTTTTAATGCCAAAAATCATGAAACACACAAAAAAACAAACAAAAAAAACCCCTAAAATGACCAGTTGGATTGCAGAGCGCTCAGTCCTATGAAAACAACACAACTGTGGCTAGAAGTGCATAGATCACAAAAATGTGTTTTGTGCAGTAACAAAGCTAAAATGCCATGAATCACAAAAAGAAACAAAATTAAGTTATAGATTTCTTTGATAATTTATTTTACAAAAAAAACTAAAAAATGAAATCAACACATTTTTCCAAGTGCCCACAACAACAAGTAATTCCATTTGCTATAGATATTTACTTTTCTTTTATTCTTCTTACTTATCCTCTCTCTGCAGTCCAGCTAAAAAGTCCTTTAGTTATTGTTACGTAAATTTTGATTGCAGCTGAATCCTGAATAGTGATCAAAGATATGGTGAGGAACACAGAATTTTATTTTTTTCACAGAATTTGTTTGTTTTTGGAGACTATATAAATGAGACATGGAGGACAAAATGATTTCGATAATTATATCATGATTTTTTTTTTCTTAAATGTTTGTTTTTTGGCCTTTTAAGCCTTTATTTCAGAGGTCAGTGGAGACAGACAGGCAGGGTGGGGAGAAGAGTGGGAAAGGACATACAGCAAATCGGCCATATGTCGGACCCGACCCATGGCCGCTGTCTCTGTGACTTTCAGCCCCAACCTGTTGAGCTACCGGGATGCTAAGTCCATCCATCCATTATCTATACACCGCTTAATCCTCACTAGGGTCGCTGGAGTCTATCCCAGCTGACTTAGGGCGAAGGCAGGGGACGCCCTGGACAGGTCGCCAGACTATCACAGGGCGGGATGCTAAGTACATCATGATTTCAAGCTGAGAAACCACTGGCTTCACAGTTGAGCAAAGAAGCACCAGTTTTTTTTTTTTTTTTTTACAGAATCTACTTAGTGTAAATGGTTTATTTTGGGCAATTTCTTTTATATATGGCATATAGAGTGAAGTGATTTGGATGAAATAGTCGAACTTCAAGGTTAGATTGAGATAATTTCAAGTCACATCACAAACGATTGGTTCAAGGATCGTCAGAAAGGTGAAAATCTGATGATTTCTTTTTCTGTTACTACATTTTCTGGCTCTGATAAATGGTGCAATTACAGCGACTTTTTAAAAACAGCATGCCTTTTAAACTTGCCAGCGGGTTTCGTGGAATAGTGCATTATGTGGAAAATGAGGCACAACACTGCTTAAAACTTAAAATGAAGGCTGATGGAATTTGTATTAAATTTGTAGAACCTTTACTAAAGCTATATTTTCAGACAGGATAATACTTTACAGGTGGTCATGTTCTCTCTGGATGTCTCACGATGTCCTCCTGCGATAAAATCTCTGCCGTCTGATGTACGAGATGCATTAATTCCATTTAAACTGTGTGTTGAACTTCCGCTTCCCACACAGTCACACTCTGTCCCTGTGCTCTACATATTTCGTAATATCCCTGCGTAAAAACCCCAGTGACCTGATAGCCCAGAGAGTCTGTCCTTGTTTCAACTTAACAAAATGGGGCTTTGAACAGCAGACGACACCCACTCCCTTAATGACTGTTCACGTAACAGGCCTGCGAGTGTCACGTCCCTTTCTCTGCAGGTTAGGGAATCCAGGGCACCGGCTTCATGTTACGCACTACAACATGAAAAACGATAACTTTTCAGCTCATTTTCATCTGAGCACAAGAAAACATGGAGTGACATTAAAAAAAAAAAACAGCCCCTACAACGACTGACCTGGTTTCAAGACAACAACAGGCTGACCTCATAGCGGTGGCGTCAGAAAATATAGGTCCCCTGGGCCAATGTGCTGTCGTAGGTTAATAGTTATTGTGTGGTTTTGTGTGTTTGCGCTGGAAGGAAGCTGACAGGAAGTCAATCCCATAGTGCCTTTATTTACAACTTGTAAAGAGGCCTGTGTGATCTTTGTGTTACTTGGAGGTACACCAACTAGCTTCAGATGTCAGACACTTGTGGTAACAGATATAATGGTGCAGATCCAAATGCCTGCAAGAGGCAAGACTGGTGCAGCAGGTCTGTGATGTTTCACATCAAAGGACAAAATGTATTTTTGACAACTCCACTTAGTGGTGCATATGAGGACTCTCTAAAATCCGACATTCTCACACTTTGGGAAAAGATATTTGTTTGTTCTTGTGCCAAAAGTTAGATGAGAAGAATATCACCAGTGTCATGGGCGTGGCTCGAGTCAGATCCTGCAATTGGGATCAGGGTTAATCAAGGCACTTTTGAACTGATTGGTATGAGCACAAACCTACGCCTGATCTCTGGTTTACTTCAGCTGTCACACAGGTGTCAAAGAAATTCTGAATTAATGCAGCATTATCAATCGACAGTTGAACAACTTGTAGTAGAAACTGAACATACTGGGCGTCCATCCTGTTAGTTTCAAGTCACAGACACGATTTCAGCTGCAAAAAACAGCAACTACAATGGGATGTAGAAACGCTGTCTTAGTTGATACTGGCTTGAGTTACCACATGTGCAGTCGCCAAATGTCATTAAGCGTCACAGAAGACTTTGAAACCTTTACTAGCTAAATCCCTACAATACTTCCTAGTTGCCAACATGAACTACCCATAGTCTGAGTGAGCGTCTCCTCAGGTCGCCTCAGTAACAAACAGCACGATGCCCCTAGTGGTACAACAGCATACTACGGGTAATTTGCAATATTTGAAATGTGTATTATCTAAGTGGTGGCGTTGGCAGATATTAAGTACTAAATGACAAAAATATCTTGATTGTGACGATCTATACGTCAAGTGTAGGAGCTCGTGCCAGAAGGGGTTTGGTTTAACTTAGCTTAACATAAAAACAGAAGTGGTCAGCAGAGAGAAAAACTGTTGTTTTTCCTTTAAAGTCAAAAAATGTTGTGGTTGGAGTTAAAAAGAAAAGAAAAAAACAAGGTAATTTGTGGGTTTCAGAATTGCAGGCCTATTCGTCTTCCAGTTTTTTGTGTTAATCTAGTCTCACTCCTTGCTCTTGTTCCACACAAATAAGACAATGGTATCAGTCTTTTAGAACTTCCCTAAAAATGCTGAATTACACCTTTAAAATCAAACCCAGCCTACAATATGCTAATACTGCTCCTTGCAATATGTATAGAATCCAAATTAAATCGAGTAAATGTGGCCTTTTCATGCAAGAGTGACTCTTTGGCAGCCTGTGCTGTGAAACCCGAAGTGTCCCTGAACGCCCCACAAGGAAAGCTTTTGAGAACAGTTCAAGTGAGGTAACAGATTTGCTTCTGTGATGGATTATCTGTCAAGGAGAACTCTTTAGAACTTGTCTGTCATTTTTTTTTTAGTGAAATAAATGAAAGGCAGTAGCTCCTGAGGCAAAGTTTACTTCATCACTTCTTTTTGAAGGTAAGGGCAAGGACATATTTTCATAAACAACAGCAGGAATGTACTGTGAACAAACTAGGTGTTCAGTATGCGAAGAGGACACTGTTGCAGTTTCATTGATTAAAACGGGTTCGTTTTTAGATGAGAAATCATTATTAGCACAGCGTAAACCTGTAACACAGATCAGTAGTTTAAGCACTGCATATTACGGTTTTAGTCTGTTTAATTTGCAACCTCATGCTCGAACACTGACACACATCTGATCTGAAAGACAAACAGCAAGGCAGTGAAGATCATTCAGAAAAAAAACAGTCTCTCTCTCTTTTTATCCGAGTGAGTGATACCTTCTTTAGCTGGAGTGCTTTGCGGGGACTGGGTGAGAGACAGAGACTGAGAGAGAGTGGAGCCGTCGTCAGAGGTTAGCTCGTGCTCGCCATCTGCAGGGAGGGTGAGGAGGGGGTAAGAGGCGGGTGAGGTTTTGCGAGGAACGGATGAGAGGATTGCAGCGTAGTGTAGAGGGGGTGGTTGGAGTGGAAGGATGACAGCAGGGATGAGTAGGATGAGAGGTTGGAGGGATTTGGGGATGAAGGGTCAGGAGGGAGGAAGGGAGGGTTGACAGATTAGTGGTAACACACACACACACACACACACACGTTAGAATCAGGCCATGCACAGCTGTTTTTCCACAAAATTTCCCAAAATCCTTGTCTGCCGATCATTAGGGCTCTCGTAGTTCCGACCAACAGTTTGTTATCTGTTTGTCCCGGTGGCCGATCGTGCGCTGTAACGTTGCATCGAGGCGTAACATCCCAGACAGATGCTCTGAGCGGTAACTTAAGGGCAGCAGGCCGGACCACCAGAGCATGCTAACAGTTGCTGCAAATTTGAACTGTGAGATATTAAAATACACGTTAAAGACAGATGACAGGAATCCATATGAGCGTTTACATAAAATAAGGAGTTAAGGCTCATTGATATCTTATCGAGTTTTAGTGGGATTGTGTATCATTTGTACAAATTATTTGGTGCTTTATCCAAATAATATCAAACAAATAACTGCATTGAAGCATTCATTTCTTTACTTTCTATGCAATTGTGCAAGCATTTGCCAAATATTGCACAGACAAATGTAAAAATGTTCTTTGTAATATGTGGTATTAAAACACAATATCACCACAATGTCAATCTCATGAGCTTAAAACGGGGCAGCACATTGAATTGTCATGCCCAAAAATTCATTCTATATTCAAGAGAACTTCCTGTCATCTTTTTTTTTTAAATTTCCAAGAGCACTTATTAAAAGAAGAAAAAAATATCCGTGCAGTCGTCTTTCTGTATTTCTTACATGATTCGAAGCAGGTTTTAACCCAGCTTTCCTAAATGTTACAGTTTAGCTCTTCATTAGCAGCTTCATTAGCTTTAAACACAGATTAGTGTGAATGAGTGGCATTCATTAGCACGTTCAGGGCTACACGATCAACAGGCACTCACGACTCCTTCAGGCACAGCGTATAGAACGTGGTTGCATAAAATCTGGTTCTGTGCAGCGACAGTGTGTTCCGTAGCAAAGGGATGCAGACAAGCAGGGTTGCATGCGGAAAAAAAACGCTACGATTTGTGGCATCTACTCGGTTTAAAGCAGGCGTGTGTTGTAATAAAAGTGCACCTCACAGAGAACTTAAAGAAGGTGTTTTCCAACTATCAGCTGTAATATGTGATCTATCTATAAATATGCATACACACACTTCACCATAAGTGCCATTAATTGAATCGATTTCCATATGTGATGCTTAAAATAGCTGTTTTGGCCTTTAAATTATTAATGTATACGCTGTAACTTAACACAATTAATCACAGGCTAAACCTATGTGTGTGTGTGTGTGTGTGTGCGCGCAGGCCAAGCGTGTATCAGGCCTTTCCAGACGGACTCCAGCTTGCATCCAGATTGGTCACCGGGGATTCATGGGGCTGTGGGGGCAACAGTGTCATAGCAACGGGCTCCGCTCATGTGGCGGGTGTGAAGACCTGCTGTCTGTTCGGTCTGCCATCTTAGTCATACCGACCTCTCTCGCACACTGACACTTGCGCTGTGTTTCATATGCACATAAGGGCGCTTGGCCCGTGCGCATGCATGAACACATGCCCCACACCCGCATACATACAAATACACATTTTAATCTGGTCCAACGTGACAGGAGCTCTGCAAACTATCTGTTCACTATTGATTTCCTCCCTCCCCCCCCCTCCGCCTCTCTGAAAGGCAGTGGGAAAGATGGGCTAATATGATTAACATTGACTATCCTGTGTGTGAGCTCTTGTGTGTGTGCAGATACAAGGTTAAAACAGTTGAAGGCAGCTGTGGAGCCTGTGGGGACAAAGCGTTATGTTAAAAAGTCATGCAGGTATATGTGTGTATTTGTGTGGCGCTGTGTAAGAATATGGGATCTGCTGCTATACCGACCTGGCTTATATAGATGTTTATGACCACCCGAGTGCAGAGAGAGCACAGAACAAATTCAAGATGTTCAGTAATCAATGTGCAAGTCGAGATTTGAGGATGAGGACAGATTTGTCATTGAAATCCTGATTATGTTTAAGCCCAGCTTGAAATCTGCTGTTTATTCTGTTAACACCTTTGATGGGTTCATTTGTGCATATACACTACACAAGAACACTAGGAAGTACACTAACATTAGTTTAAAGGTGATTACAAGGATGAGATTTGAATTCCTGATCAGGACCAGAAGGTTTTACTTTGCTGTCAATGCATGAGCGAGACTGAAGTGAAGTCAAGGTCGTAATAGATTTTTGGGGTTTTTTATATGCAGCAGTGCCTCAGGGTTATTAATGATGAAGGTAGCAGTTAACCCTCTGAACTCCACAACACCTCTGTGGGTTTGAAAGGTATGTCATTTTTAAAAAACACATCATCAAAATTACACCGTTTATCCGTGTCAGAAACTGTCAAAACTGAAATTACTGTCAGATTTTCAACTTCCTTGAACAAAGGTATTTAAATATTAACTTAAAGTTGTGATTTTACATTAGAAAATCACTACACTTTACATGGCATATTTAAAAAAAGCTTACACTAGCTCGATTCTGCAAAAAAGACAACAACAAAAAAGTGCTCCTTGGTCCAACTGTGAAGTCATTAGTAACTCAGCTGCGACCAACAGTTGCGCGACAAAAACTGGGGGACTTTTAGCTGAACTACGATGAACTGCAGGCAGTGTTTACACAAAGCAGATATATGTAAAAATCTGTACAGTATGTTATCGCTAGTTCTACTCATGGCTGTGCTGTTTTCTTGTGACTTTTGCGGGAAAAAAATCTGACAGGACCAAACAAAACAAACGCCCACAAACTGCTTGGTTTTCACAGGGTTAATATACTACGACCATTTTAACCATCAAAATAAAAATAATAGCACTAATATGCACTAACTTTCAATCTAAACACCATATATCAAGCTTAAGGTTGGAAAACCCCATTAAAAACCCTGCACGGCAACCGCTGCTGCAATTTACTGCACGGCCGTTGCTTTGACAGGCCAATATTGAGGTCTTACACAAACTGCTCAAAGCGACGGCGATGAAGATGATAATTCCTCTCGCTGACTCAAACTAATCTCTTCCTGTGCGCTCCCAAATTGTGGCTTGCATATTGATTATTGATCCCGATTTGTTCTAAGCCTGCTCAATATTTTGTTGTTAAATGAACCTTCACAGATTGGTAGGATGGCTGCTGACACCGGGAGACAAATGTTTGGCTTTGAGTACAGCTCACAATGCGTGTGTGTGTGTGTGTGTGTGGTTATGCACGAGTTTGTATGTTTGTTTAAGTGTGCATTCGTGTGTGTCGCACCACTGAGGCCGAGTTGCCTCCTCTCCACGTTCTTGCGGTACTCCTCCAGGTCTTTCTCTGACAGCTCACTGAAGGGGTTGGGAGGCAGGGGAGCCATCTGCTCCTCCTCTGTGGGCACGTATGGCTGGGGAGGAGACGGGGGAGACGGGTGAGCGTGAGTGAGCACACACACACACACACACACACACAACACGCACGCACACACACACAGGAACAGGTACATGCACACGCTCTCTGAAAGTCAAAAACACACACACACACACAAACAAACAGATGTACGCACCAGACCATAAATGCATGCACACACACAAAAACAGCTCTCTTTGCAACTCACATCGACACTTGAAGACGCACTCAAAAACACACAAACAAAAAGAAGAAAAAAAAAAAAGTGCATCGTGTCTGAGAGCGACAGTCATTCATTAAAGTGTGACTAATGTAAAGATGAAACAGAGCGCTGACCACATCACATAACACAGAGCACGTCTAACCACCAGCTCTGCACAGAAACATGTTTATAATACACTGTAAAGAAATGTAAAAAATAAAACAAATACCGCAACAAGTCACGCTCATGCACACGCAACACATTTACGAAATTACACGTCTGCTTAGTTTGGGTTGTAAAAAAAAAAAAAAAAAAAAAAGTCCCACAACAACAGTCATGCTCCAACAAAGCATCCCACTTCAGCGACTCACAAAAACGAGTGCAATGTTGTGTAAAATAGAAACGAAACCCGTGACAATAAATGAAAATGGGTGTCAGTCTTAAAGCACAACTCTAACAAATACGTGCAAGTGTTTTTTTTTTTTCTGTTCTGACTGTGCGATAAAGTGTCAAAAATGAACAAAAAAACACATTAAAATCAAAACCACTGCAAATGGTGACAATAGGAGAACACTTGGGGATATTTACCAGAACTTTAATCTGCACCAGATCCTTCAAGACAAGACATCAACCACAAATCATATGAGCATCGAAGTGCATTAATTAGATATTTTGTTATCATACTTGTCCTATGCGTTTAGAATTTTTATTCATCTTTTTTTCTTACCATTAAAGCGCAACTTAAAAGGGGCTGATTTTCCATTTGTATAAAGTGCTCACTTACCTCCACCTAGTGGTCAAGTGGTGTCAGTGAACTCACTGCGCTATCTGCTGAACCACTCAAGTCCAAAATACACCAAGTTGTGAGCGTTTAAAACTGTGTCTATGACATTTATGTAACTCTCTTTCTCCTTTATCATCCTTATTAGTTCATTAAGCTCAGCAACCTCCGATCATTTCCAGAGCAGCTCTAATATACTGCAGCCTGAGCAGATGTCTAATCAGCCAGAACCCCTGAAAACACCTTTGAGCCACTGCTCAATAAACAAGTAATTAGGGAAATCTTTATGGTTAGTATTCATGCATTGCAGTGGGGAGGCTCAGCGGTTCAACAGACTGCGGATCCTGCAAAAACAACTGCAGTCCTGAAATGAGAAGCAAACGTCTCTGAACTGACTCTGTGCTGTTGTTGATGCTGTTCCGTCACATTTTAACATATGATTTAAAAACGACAATAAAATGTGATCTTGGAGTTTGATTGTTGTTTTTCTGTTTTTACAGTTTGTGTGACTGACGAAAGGTGAAATTTTGGCAGCTTCTTAAATACATCATGCCTTTAAAAGCTGCTAACGGTTTTGGGTATGTTCATGTAAATTAAGTTCACTGATGCATCCTTTAGGGAGAAACAAAACTATTATTTAAAGGAAACACCAAATTGTTCAAAGCAATCTTTTGGTGATAACTTTTCTTATTTTTTTTTTGTAACTGGCTGACAGACAGGAGATTATTTGGTGCAGCGCTACAGTGAAGTTTCAGTTTCTTGCTTGTTTGTCGACCTGCAGCCCGTACCTACTGTTTCAACTAAACAAAGTCAGGTTATGAGGTCAGAACATCAGAAAGCGGAGATTCTCACCCGTCGCGGTTCATCAACAGGGATTCCTGCAAGGTGCTGAGAGCGTGGCCCTGATGTCATCACGTCAAACCGGTTCTGCTCTCTGATCTGTGATTGGACGAAACACACGATGATGTCACCAGGAAGCCTTAACAGTGATCTGAATGATTATAAGGTGCAGTCAAAACAGTTCAGTATTGCTGTAACTCTACTGTCAAGTTTAGAAATGAAACTAAATGAAATATCAGTGATTAACTTTATGTTGGAAATAAAAGCTCAAATTTCTGAACACAAATATCCCATGAAGCATATGCAGACTGACAGTTTAGTGCTTAATGACCTTTACTTTACAGATACTGAGGTTGTTTAAGTTTCCTGTCTGAGGAGGTTCAAGAGAAGATGTGATTGCCATGAGACTGTTGGTGAAATGTGTTATCTGGGATTGAATTAAGATGTCTTATTGTGCTGATTTTCTAATATGATTAACATAACATGATTTTCTGAGGTTTGTTTTGTTGTTGCCTGTTCCTCGGATATCAAGCACACTAAATAATGCAAAGTCTTACTTTTGATTTTCAGAACAATGCAGAATGTAAATGTTAAACTTCATACTGATGCGTCTATTCGTGATCATCTGCCTTTTGCTAATCTCCTCAGGTTTTTAAGAGCAACCTTAAACCCAGAATAAAATGTCAGAGTAATTTTAAGTTCCGCTTAAGGTGAACTCTCCTTGTATTTCTGTCAAGAACTTGGGATTTCAGACAATCCTTCCTTTGTTCTTTGCTGATATTTTTTCTTTCCACTGACTTAAATCTTTACACTTTATACTCTGATCATGGTGATGGTGTTACAGTTAGTCACAATAAGCCATTTTACACTGCAGGAAGTTGCGGGCCCGTTTTAGGGCGCATTCCGACCCCAAGAACCATCCTTGTAGAACCTCTTTTAATTCTGAACAAAGCGTAGGTACGTCTGAGTGGCTCTGAAACAACTGCTGTGTGAGGCTTAGAGCTGGTTGGGTAAATCTGTGGAGGACAGTGAACGCTATTTCTTCTGCCCTTCTGATGCTGTGTTCTCCTCTCCAACACCGCCAGCAAAAAATATAGTCTAACATATCAAACTTCTATTGCTTTAGTTCCGGCATGCTCATAGAACCTAAAGTTACATCCAGTAACTACCATTTGTTGTTACTTTGGCACACTGGGTTACCATCATGGCTGAAAAAGTTCCTGGAACATTCCCTCACCTCAAGCCTTCCCTCTAGTATCAGCGCACTGCCAACTTAAATTTTACTATAGTTAGAATTTATGCTGATGTTAGGGGAAGTGTTAGACTCACTTTGTTCCTCTTCTGCAGAACCTCACTGGGGTCTGTGTTGAGAGGGACAAACTGATTGGGGTCCTCGATCCGGATCGGGGTTCCTGTCTCCTCCGCCTTCATCCACTGGAAAAGGAAGACAAGTGAAAGCTGGTGTTACAAAACTTAAAAAAAGAGTCTACTGTAAGACCCCTAACTCTGTTATTAGTCACTAAACTAAACGTCTCAAAGGTAAATAACATGAACCAAGCAACTGTAGTTCTCTGTCCGGCCACTAGAGGGCGGTCCAGTATCAGGTAAAGATGGCTCTAGTCAAAACAACAGAGTCAACACTAACTGACTATGTTCACTTTGTCACTTCATATTTTGGTTTATTGTAAAAACTCACAGTTTTTTGCGAGCACACAATCACACAATCACATATTTGTTAAACCCTGTTTGGCGTTAAAGTTGAACTTCAAACCTTTAGATGTCTATTCCCATGTTTGTTATCATGTTTTTCAGACCAGCATTCACCCCCTCTCTGCTCACCGTGGTTGTCCGGCTGTTGTAGCGCTCCTCTCCTCCCTCCACGCTGACCTTGGTGTAGCTGTTGGGGGAGTTGAGCCAGCGTGTCTTCTCCCTCTGCTGCCGCTGCTGCAGAAACTTGAAGGGCAGCCGCGTGGCGGCGTCCCCGTCCTCCTCGAACATGAACGCCGTGACCGTGGCGGGGATCTCCACGTCGCTCTTGTGCCTCGGCTTCTCCCGGACGATGGGGTGCCGGTACGCGTAACCCGTCCTGTAGCCCTGAGGTGCAAAAAGAACATCACATCAGTTTGTTTTCTTTCTTCCGTACAGATTGTTTAGCTTCGCAGTGACAAGAAAACAAAACCATGTGGCCTCAACCAGAAGCTGATTCATGCACTCACACATGTGCTGCGGTGTGTTTATGTGGTCCTCCATCTACTCCTGCTGCTGTGGAATTCAGTTTAGCTCATGAGGATCATTAACCCTCTGACCTTCAAGCCATTTGTGGACATATTTTGCTCCCGTCACATTTTTACTCACTGGGAGCTCATTTTTCACTCTAATATAAAGTCCTGCGCCTTTATGGAAACAGCACAACCTCAGCTAGAAGTACAGAGAACTAAAAAAGACTCTCTGTACAGAAAAACTAAGTTATGATGTCATGAATCACAACAGAGAAGCTATATTATTTATTCAACCTGGAATCAAGATGTACAACATTTTTCCACAGGTGTTAAAAAAAGCTGGCTCTCATATTATCGGCATTTTACTACTTACATTTCAACTTGTCACCTGTCAGCCGTACCTACTGATATCTGCTGTGAAAGCACTGCCTCCAGTTCAGCTCGAAAATTCCTACATTTGTGTCATTTCACTGTTTAGTTGCAGCTGAGTCAGGAATGGCTTCACTGTTACACTGAGGAGCGCAGAATTTTTTGGTATTTTTACAGAATCTAGTTCGTATAAATGCTTTATTTTTGGCATATTTTTTAATATAAACATATAGAATGAAGTGATTTTTAGGAAATACAGTGATTTTAAGCTTAGATTTGGTTTTCTGACATAGTCACAGATGAGTTGTTCAAAGACTGTCGGAAAGTTGGAAATCAAATGATTCTGTTTTTACAGTTTCTGGCTGTGATAGATGGTTTAATTTTAGTGATTGTTAAAAAAAAACAGCTTTCCTTTCAGACCCATCGATGGGTTTTAGGGTTCAAATGTTCTTAGATCACAGAGTTCACATCATTAGAAACAATAAATAAGTTTTACCAAATGAATAACAGAAGTGAACGTTTCTTCTGTGACTTTACTTTCCTATGATGCTGGTTGGGTTGCCAGTTTCATAGTTAGGAAAATGGAAAAGAAAGAGAGAAACAGTGCTGTGACCGCAGGGTATCTGGCAGCACAGAGGACAGAGTCAGAGAGTCATTTCCTGGCTGACCCTTTCTCTCTCACCCCTCTCCCCCCTTTCCTCTCCCTCCACTTTATTCTCATCTCTCCTCTTCTCTCACATTCCCATTTCCTTTCTCTCAGTGTCGCGGCTGTTTTTCAGACAATTTTCCACACTGGGCTTGACAGCTTTTCTTTTCATCTAAACTCTGTGGTCAAAGCTGACCTTTCAACTTGACTTCATCACCCTTTTTTTTTATTTATTTTTTAATCCGGATACAGTCAACTGAGCTGGAAGGATCTTTTCCTGCTTCATATTCACACATTTGTACACAATCGAAGCTGGGAGCTCGCCGCTTTCTCATCACCACGCCTGGGTCTTGTACTGAATCCAAGAGCTTATCTGATACTAATGCAGTGTTCATGAAGTGTGTGAGAAAAGAGGGATGGCGAGGAAGGGAGGGGAGACACGGAGACGAACTGTTGGCTGAGGGGAGGTGATTCATTGAGAAGGGGAGAAGGTGGGAGGGAAGCATGGAGAAGGAAGAAAAGTGTGGGGTGAAGGAGGCGAGAGAGGGAGGACAGACGGAATGAGGAGCTCAGCCAGGGAGAACAGAGTGACACTTCTACAGTCACATTATTGTTGGTCGTGATGAAGCCTGCAGGGACTGAACAGCTGCTTTTAACAGATTTTTAAATTAAAAAAAAAAAAAATCATCACAGCCCTCTTCAAATCTTTCCCACAAATTTCTCTGGGCTCCTTTAAAATTAATCTCTTTTCCCTTGAACTGTTTTATGTAATGTGCTTACAAAAAAAATCATTTGTCAGTTTAACAGCTCACAGTGCTGCTGGTTTTCTTGCATTTTCCTTTGAATACAGTTTTAGTTACTGTAGACGGCACCCTTTTCTAACTCCCACATTAGCCACCGCTGCTCATAGTTTGCTGGTCGTCATTTATTTTACTATAAAGAAACAGGAATGTGTCATGAATCTCAGACTATTTCTCTTTGGATGGACAAACGACCACACGGTGTTTAAAGTGACAAATGTTATACCTTCATGAAATGTTTATAGGTTAGTCAGCGGTGGTGAATTTTTATTTTATTTTTTTCCCCTCCCGAAATATGACGTCACACTGCTTTAAAGAGTGGTTTTGTAGAAAATCAATGTGGCTCAGGTGGTAGAGCGAGTCAGTCAATGATAGGAAGGTCGGCGGTTCGATTCCGCCCTATAAGCTGTGTCATGGTCGTCGTGTCCTTGGGCAAGACTCTTCACCCGCCTTGCCTGATGTGAATGCGTATGAATGGATTGTTTGAGGTGGTGGTCGGAGGGGCAGAATGGCAGCCAGGCCTCTGTCAGCTGTGGCTACAATCGTAGTTACCACCACCAGAATGAATGTGTGTGAATGAATAACTGACAGTGTAAAGCAGGGGTCTCGAACTCCGGTCCTCGAGGGCCGCAATCCTGCAAGTTTTAGATGTTTCCTTCTTCCAACACACCTGATTCACATGACCAGGATCGTTATCAGGCTTCTGCAGAGCTTGATGATGAGCTGATCATTTGAATCAGGTGTGTTGGAAGAAGGAAACATCTAAAACTTGCAGGATTGCGGCCCTCGAGGACCGGAGTTCAAGACCCCTGGTGTAAAGCGACTGAGTGTCTAGAAAAGCGCTATATAAATCTGACCAATTACTATTATTATTTATTTGATTTCTATCAGCTAGTTCTATTCCTATCTGCTGTATTAACACAGCCTGCAGTTCAGCTGAAAAGTCCCTGTTTTTAATCACATAACCGTTACAGCTGAGTCACGAGTGGTGGAGCACAGAATTTTTTGTTTTTAAAAGCATCTACTTCGTGTAAACATTTTATTTTTGGCATATTTTTATTAGCGATATGTCAAATAAAGTGACTGATGGACTGTCAGAATTTTACACTTAGAGCTGACTTAGCTTTCTGACGGAGCAACACCTCATAGACAAATAGTTTTTAATTCCTTTAATTTGATTGTTTATTTGATGTGATCACAACTACATTGGACAAACCAGATGCATTGTTTTAGCACAGGTGCTAATCCGCAACACCTGTCCACAGGGAGAGAGAAAGTAAAGTGTACAAGGGCAGATGGAAAGTTCAGTACAAAATCTCACACAAGTGCACATGTGCTGAGATGCAAAGAAGTCTTCTTAGTACTTAGATTTTCATGCAATTTTAATATTTGCCTCTAAGCGTATTTGTACAAGATAAATCATAAGTAAAGTAAAATGTGCAGGTTAAGTGTGTAGATTAGAAGTAACAAGAGGCATTATGATATATACGTGTGTGGTTTTTTGTGTCAGGTATACAAATCTGCACACTCACCAGATTATCCAGCATCCTCATCAGAGACTCAAACTCCAGCTCGCCGATCTTCCACTTGTACTGGCCGGCCATGTTGACCGAAGCCGCTGAGGCCACGGCGAACACTCGCGACTTGTACTTCTCCTGGTCCAGCACTATAAGGTTGTCCACACCTCCAGCACACGAGATGGCATTCACCTAAAACCACAAAGTACGAACAACCAGGGAAGCATGTGAGCTGACTGACGGCTGACGCAACACAACATAGACAAAAAGGCCCTTTTTTCTCTCCAGACATCTGCAGCGTTAGCTCGTCTACAAACCGACCGTTTGAGGAGGAAAGACGTCACAACCGATATGAGAAACCCCTCATTCTTAACGCTACGGCAGCACAGAATATACAGTACATGACATAAAACAAACATGTTTGAGGGGATTTATTTATAGAAACTAAGCTGGGCTTTGCAGGATGGATTAATGTTTTCTTTTGCTCGACCGGGGGGGAGAGTCAATCAGGAGATTTGGTTTGCCTGTCACAGAAGCCGATACAACTCTTCATCTCTAAAATCCACCATATTTACAAATGAACACAAAAACACACGAGAATCCAAAAACAAAACACAAGAGGAATCCCTCAGGTCACGCAACTGAAGACTTTAGACATTATGAATTCTCTCCTGCCTGTGTGACAACAACAAGAAAACATCTGTTGACTCCATACGCCGATAGAAACACTGCAGCTGTTGTGACACTCATCAGTGATATCTCATAATTTTATCTGTTGTTCATTGTTTAACTCACAGTAGATTATTAATATGATATCATATGATCATGTTTTGTTAAACTACTGAACTCTCAGTGTTTAGGTTTGACTGAAGTGGCAGAGGCTGGATGTCTGAAATATTTTCCATTGATGTAGTTCAGTTATTGATTATTTTTTAGCTATTCCAAACATCTAATCATTTCTTCTAGTTAACTTTCCACCACTTTGTCCATATTTTCCCTCAGTTACCTTAATTGAGGTAAATGATTGTCAGGTCTCATTGTGGAGTGTTTTTTTAACCCTAACATGAATCAGTTTCTTAGCGATTTATCTGTCTAGTTTTATTTATCACAGCCTGCAGTTTAGCTGAAAAGACACAATTTTTTAAATAAAGCGACTAATGAAATATTCTGATTTCAGCGTTGGTTAAGTTGTCTGATGGATGTTAAAGACAGTCTCATGATCTTTCTGTTTGTACAGCTTCTGGCAATGACAAAGTGGATTTTGGGCTTCAGAGGGTTAAACTATATTTTCATTAAATGACTTATTAATAATAATTTATTCTTACTTTTATTGGATAGTTACATAAAAGAGTGACACGAAATGTGGACAAAGAGAGCACCAAGTCAAAATCCTTGTATGTGGAAATCTACTTTCGGATTCTAATCCACTAAAAGGTCCAGACTGGCAGGAAATCAAAGCAGGGACTCACTGCTTAAAGCCATTTATGCCCATCTCGTATGCACGTTAACCACTCGGCTATCAGGTCACCCCGATATGAACATGTTTCTTTGTAATTTTAGTTTGTTTTAAATTTGTCAATATACTCCTCAATCTGTCCTTAGCTTCACCATCTCTACATCCCTGTCATTCACGACGTTTTGACTTTATTCTATTGTGTTGAAAGGCTGTTCTTTGTTTATAATGTCTTATTGTTATTGCACAGCCTTGAGGAACAGTCACTTTGTATTTCACTGTAAATAAAACTCTTGAATATTCCACCTGAACGCTGCAGAAGCTGTCCTGAGGTTGCCTCATCAGCAAAGATTACTCAGATCGATGCATGTAATATGAATATAACATTTAAAATAAACCAGGAATTCATACTAAATCCACAATCTGTCAAATCGACCTCCTGAAATCCCCTCCATCATCCACTATTCAGATGTCTTACTGGCTCAATATATAAAAAAAAAAGAAAAGAGGAAGGACAACACCCTTCTTAAAACGCAGCTTTGGACCCACATCAACAACAACACATCAGATTGTTACTCCCGTCGTCAAACTCCTAATAGCCCGATTATAAAACTGTGTTTAGCCAACATTTTCCACATGGCAAGAGATTATGAGTTACGGAGTGTTGTTAAAAAAAGTCTGAGAGGAAAAAATGTGAAAGCAGCTGTGGGGAGATTAGATTTAGCGGGAAAGCTGCTGCCCTGCTGCTCTAATGCGGCTGTGCAGAAGCTGAGGGGTGCTGGAATGTGCCGGTCGCCCGAAAACGGCAGCAGCAGCAGTCGTCTCTCTCTGCGTACCTGGATTTCGCAGGCGTACTGGGCGTTGTAGATGTAGTGAAAGGCCTCTTCGATGGTTTCCCCGAGAGCAACCACGCCGTGATTCCTCAGCACCAAAACCTGCGACAGAAAACAGTCAACGTGAAACCTAACAGCAGTGCACAGGTTCGAACGCAGTCATTTCGGTTGTGACTGCACGATTATGCGTAGGGCCCTTTAATTAAAACGTAACCACAAAAACATTTCTGATCTTATGTATCAACATGGGTTTGGCCACTGGATGACAGCAGCAGGATCTGGCAGCAGATCGACGGCGGAAATTCCCTCGAATTCCCTGAATTGCTGCTGCTGATGAAGAATCCAACAGGGCAAGACACTCTCAAGGAAGGCACGAAAACTAAAAAGGTGCAGAAGGTAATTCAAGCACAGCAGACCTTTCAACAGGATGTGTTGACTCCTGCTGCTGTTTCCTATTTTAAATACACCACTCCCTGATAATACATCATTTTTCTTTCTTGGCCTCAAGGACAAGATGTGGTTTCTCAAACTAAACAAAGACATCACGCATAGACCTTTGGAGCAAACGGGTATAAAATGTTGTGCAGTTTTCTTTTTATATTTTTTGCCTGCTTTCTCAGTGACTGTGGAGACTATGGATTAAGGAGGGTATTGGTAGTGGAATAGTTCTACATTTTGGGAAATTCTCCTTTATCAGCCAAAGATGATAAACAGTCTGGTGCATAATCCCTCAAAAAACTAGCAGTTGGATTTAATGAGATGTAATGTGTTAATTAGTAAACTTCAGAGACGTTGCTAGGCAGATTTTATTACCTTTAAACAGAGACAGTTGTTTCCAGTCTTAAGGTTAGTCTAAGTTTATCAGAGTAGTGATTAATGTGCAACACTAAAACCTGCTGAAGGGTTTAAAATGCATGTTATCTTTAAAAGAAATCATCACCATTGATCCGGGCTAAAACAGAAAGAGTCATCTGATTTTCAATGGCCCTTGAACTAATCATTCGTGACACGCTGTTCTATTAGAAAATTAACCAAATCTGAGCTTCAAATTCTGATATTTCAATAAAGTCCTGTTCTTCTCTCATTTAAAGATTTGTCAGAAATCAATCATTTGCAGTAACTAGATTTTGTAAAAACCAAAAATTCTGAGCCCTATGAAGCCACCAGTGATTGAGTTGTGATGATTAAACTTTGCCAAACTGCAAAAACAACAGGTTGAAGTTCTCTCTACTTCTAGTCATAGTTGTAGTGATTTCAGAGAGGTGCAGGACTTTCTATTGCTTTGAAAAATAAGCCCACAGCGAGTAAAAAAAAAAGCGCCCAGAAACTGTTTGGAGTTCAGAGGGTTAGTAATAATGAAACATCTAGTTTAGTTTTCTTGGCTGTCTGACCTTCGCCGTGGGCCCCAGGGCCTTCTGCAGCTCTCTGCGCTCCTCCTGGTCGTCCAGGCTGCCCTGGTAGTTGTAGTAGGCGATATCACCCAGGATCAGCGCCTCCTGGGAAATGGGCAGGATCCCGCACTTCATAGATGACACCTAAAGCAGGAGAAAGGTGAGGAGAAGGCAGGGAAGACGTGAGCGATAAGAAGCTTTGACAGGCGTAGTACAGCAGACTGTGTGAGGAACGCTTTGAAGCTGACTGCAGAGAGAAGCCTCTTTGTTGTCACATGAAATGCGATAGAACTTTTGCACTGTAGATTATTCTCTTTTTACTCGACTTAGGTGATATAATTACACCAAATGTATCCACTTATCTCAAAATGCAACATAACGTCTCCTTTAACATGAGTTTCAAGCAGGTTAATCAGTGCAAAAGGCGGGTATGAGGTGGTTTAGAATGAAGCGAACTGTTGTGGGATTTTTGGAAATTGAACAAATGACAGAACTGGAGATAAGATTAGGATGTGTAATCAGATTTAAGCATAAGCAAATAATAAGACTGGAAAATATGATGTGTAAACTGTATTCATGAATGCACTGAGCAGTCCTGTGTAAGCCCAACCCGATGAAAAACCTGCAGAATACAGCCAGCCTGAAGCACAAGCTCTGTCTGTGCATTCGTGTGGGAGTTGAAATTAAGGTCACTATGGCCTCGCAAAGACTAAAAGAGATGATCCCAGTTGTCGAGAGGGGAAAGGAGAGCGCCTCAGGTGTGATTTTTTTTTTTGGGATCACACAAACCTGAGCATGTATTCATGCTGCCGAGAAAATGGGTTGGGCTTTTCAGGAGAAGGAGGAGAGTTGGGAGAAGTTTGCGTAAGTATATAAGGAAATGTTGTTAGTTCAATTCTCGAGATTTTGCTCATGTTTGTTCTTACAGCCTCTGTATTGAGTAAACATTATTCACATCAGACTCTCAAAATGTTTTCCCTGGAAACCTTTTTAGAAGACTCTTTACACGAGAAGTGATTTATTTATTTTTTTTCCTACAGGTTTTTGTTAAGGCTGCCGGCCCTTCCTTCTTTGTTGTGTTTCTTCCTTATGTAAATTGCAGTGTGCCGTTGCTGGTTGCCGATTGGGTCAGGGCAGATGGGCAGAGCCAAGCCAATCAGTCAGGACCCAATGAGACCTATTTAAGTTTGGAGCAGCCCAGTTAACAGAGTGGTTGTATGTATGCAGCGCACCAGTGCCCGATTCTTTCAGGAGAACTTTTGTTTTGTGTTAAGGCACTTTTCCAAAAGCTGTTGTGGGACAGGGCTCATTTTTTAATTCTCATTTAGGAAGGTGCTGTTCGGTATGCTTTGATTTTGAACACTTTGTTATTCTATTGAACTTGCTTTTACTTTGTTTTTGTTTTGTCAGTAGCAATTCAGTCTATAAGATCTTTTGTGTGTTTAAGTTAACAAGCACCTTTTTGCCCTGTTGCCCCTCAGTTTTGTGGTTTTGGTGAACTCTGTTACTTTTAAGCTAATTACATCTGGTTTTGTTGCTTCCCTTTTCCCCTTTTCTCGAGCTGGGTTGTAACAGTTTGACAAAGCTGCCTGACCATCACCGGCCCACAGCAGGAGGACTGAATCACAGCAGAACTTACGGCTGCCGCGGCAGGAGTGTGCACGTGGATGATGCAGCGGATGTCTGGACGCATGGAGTAGATGGCAGCATGGGGGCTGAACCCTGCAGGGTCGATCCTCAGGTTGGTGGAGCCCTGTTCGATCACGTCCCCGATGATGTTCACCTTCACCTGCGGAGACAAGGACAGAGTCGAAGTCAGTCACGGATTTATGATCCGGATACAGCAGGTGAACGTAAATCCTCTGCTGTGGGAGAACTCAGGGAGATATACTGTACAACTAACCATGCCGACATCAGTGACAGCAAACATCAAGCACATCAAGACACTGACTCACAACCAGATCCACCGACTTGCCCACAAGCGCAGTTAATAACCCTCCGACATGAACCCAAGAAGACACAAGTCAGAATCAATGAGCGTGATGACAGAAATCACATTATCAACGATTCCTCCTCTCCGTCTGCTCCTCTCCAGGAAATGAATTGAAGCGTTACCAGGAGACATAATATAGTCAAGGAGTGGACATGATGTTCTTTACTATGACAGCTTCATTAGCAGCCAGTTAGCAGTTATTAGATCAGAGGAGAGGGAGAGAAAACAGTCCGAGGAGAAGGTAGAGGTAGAAGACCTGCGGGGCGGGGAGTCGGAACGAAGACAGATAAATGGATCGCAGTATAAAATCTGGAGGAAGAGCAACGAACAAACTCAGTGCAGATGTCAGTAAAACCTAATAACAACCAGAAAACACAGCTTTGCCTGCAGACCTTGTTTAAAATTGCCATTACTGTAACCACATGTTGTTCTGTGATACGAACCAGAACCTACCAGCTCACATTTCTCTTTCACAATGCAAAGTGTGTTATCACAACAGGAAAAGGGCATCCATCATCCAGTCTGGGGCTAATGAAACACACCCAGTTTAACCGGAGCCGGCCGATGGAGCGACGAGGGAGAGCTGCAGTGAATAACAGCGAAGGGGTCGGTGTTTAAAAATGTGCAAGTACTGTTCGCAGCAACACCGCTAAAACTTAAGCTGAGGAAATCAGAAACCTGCAAGTAACTGGGAAAGCTTCACACAGTTGAGAACTACACCTCTATACTCATTAGTTTTGTATCTTTAGTCATCAGTAGTAAAATATTAGCATATTTATACATCATTTAGTTTATAGAATAACAAAGAAAGCTCTATTAATGTACTTTGATGGTTACTTCAAGCACCGTCACAGCTTTGCAAATTAATACGGTATCAGTTTTACATCTTCCTACATATTTAATGACCAAAAGCTTTAAAGTGACATGAGGGGTGATTCATTTGCTCAGAGAGTTTTGAAAACCTGACACCTCAGTATACACCATTGGATATAAAACCTACTTCTTAGAGTTATGGCCAAATTGTTATTATAGTGCATTTGAAACATTGTCGGCCTGAATATCTGTTGGCTAAGTGCTTCAACATAACTTTAAATGCTTATTAATACTCTGGTGCTCATTATAATCAGAAATAAAATCACAGTTTTCCTTAAGTTTTCCAATGTATTTTTGTTATGTGTTGCTACATATTGTGTGGTTGTTTTCAACACCAGATCTGGTAACTAAGAGTTCAGTTTTTACTCAGTCATTCAAGGTTTTATAGAAGAAGAAGGACATAACGAGCACCAAGCACATAACTGAAGTATGTTTGTGGTGTCAGAACATAAAGATATTACATAGGCACAAGTATAAAGGAAATTATTTAAAAAAATTTCAGGCCCGACTTAGCTTCCTTTAACCCTCTGAACCCCAAATCATGTCTGCTGGTTTGAAAGGCATGTTGTCTTCACAAAACGGGCAAAACTTACACCAGTCATCATAACTAGAAACTATCAAACCAGACAGAAACATTGAATTTTGAACTTTCCAGTGGTTGCTGATCGACTCGGATGCCGAATGCAACTGTGACGAGGCGTTTGGTTGGAAAAACGTAACCAAATCTAAGCTTAAAATTGTGCTATTTTTATTAACATCCCTGTATTTCACGTCTAGTTTAAAAAATTTCCAAAAAAACCAAACCAAACAAAAAAAATCCAGATTGCCTCAACCACTTTCAGTAAAAAAGTAAAAATTCAGTCTTCAGCGATTAAAACGGCTGAGACCAACAGTCACATGGCAAAAATTCAGGGATGTTTCTGCTGAACTGCAGGCAGACGACAGGAGACAGGTATAGAAACAACTTTAAAATGTAGGTACAGCTAAGGGCTTATAAAAAATATATATTATGATGTCAGGTATTTTTCAATTTTTGGAAAATAAATAATTACAGAAGCTTTTTCCCTTTATTTAAAACAAAAAAAGATTTAACACATTATAACTGTGCAATGTTGCACAGATTACATTTCAGACTTGTCTCTGCCTCTAGTCCTGGTTTCCACAGAGGTGCTGGACTTTATATTACAATAAAAAATGAGCCCACAGTGAGTAAAAATGTGAAAGGACCAAAAAAAAAATCCCCAGAAACTGCTTGTGGTTAAACAGCAGCGTTGAATCTGCAACTTGCTCGTGACCTTCAGATCACCTGAAGCTGAAAATCCTGAGATGCGTCCTCAGTGGGGCTCGGCCTTTTAGCAGCCATATGGATGTTTGGATAGATGGCCGTCTATTGATCTTTCACCCAGCAGAGGAAAATGAAAGGCACAAGCCGAGCGTAAGTAACCACCACTGTCTTTTGTCTCTGCACGACCCCACAGCCATGACCAGCTGTCAGGCGATCGACCAACGATTGGGTTACATCACGCGTCCAGTGCGGTATCAGACCATCCTGTCACGTCCTTTACAACGCGACAGCCTGTCAGTCAAACACCGCCTCAGCTGAGAGGCCCCTCCTGACAAATGTAGCACGTCTAATTATAAAAACATGCCAAAGGACGTGTCAGAAAGAATCTGAAATGTGATGCAGGAGGGAGCAGATAAGGAGGTGATAAGGAGAGCGAGGCATGAAGAACACACGTGGGCAGTGGAAACTTCAATGTGAAATCCCAGGATTTTTTTTTCACGCATAATTCAAGTTAAGCGAATCAAACAGCCTCACTTCAACTTTCTGATCCTCTAACGTGAAGCCAGTTCAGATCAGATTGTGTTCACGGACATGAAATCAGGAAGTGACCTAAAGCTCTTTTTCTATGAACTCAAAAGGCCTCACCTTCAACTCAGATACTGGGATACTGACAGGGAGCAGCAGATGGAAACTGACCAAATTCAACTGACCCCAGCACGACCCCCTCACACTCTTTATTCTGGATGACTTGCTCTTCATCAATCCCTCTGCTTCTCTAAACACTCAAACCACGTAACTATAGAGCTCCCTGAATCAAAACAGGCTGAAAGAGGAGAAGGGGAGGAGATTAGAAAGAGGCCGATAAACACAGCGGTGGCAGACTGGCATCAAAACACAAACACACTGAGACGCAGTGGGGGGAAACCTTAAAGTGCCGGTCTACATCATTTGGTTCTGTCTCTCAGCATTTGCAGCGTTGTGGTCTTTCCTCTCGTACAGACGAACTTTACCGCCCAGCCGCAGAGAAGATGGATGTGGTCCAGACGAACTTAAAATAGTCAAGTTTAAGTGATTTGCCATTTACAGTATTTCTAAAGCTGAGTCTACATTTTATTCTGCTGTCTGCTGTGATTTGTACGACGAGCAGCTATGAGCGAAACGTTTCATTATGAGTTATGAAACTCTTTTAGTAAGGCAAACACATCATACTCACAATGTAATGTCTGAGTTTAGTGGAATTTGTAGACAGGGTTATTACTGCACAGTCAGTTTCTAGTTTGCTGAGTACACCTGCTTCAAACTAACAAAGCCTCCATGAAAGTTGGAGTAGTACGCTTTTGCTAATAAACTGGCAAATAAGTAGATATTTTAGAAGGAAAATAATGGTTAATTTA